AGCAATGAGAGATGTATACCCTCGGAAGGAGAATCTTTGGGAGATATTCTCTCAGAAGGAGTAGCATTGAAAGATATACTCTCAGACAAAGAAGCAGTAGACATACTTTTTGTTTTTTTTTTTTTAAACTTCGTTTTCCTGTTTGTCTGACTAGAATATGCTCGCATATTTATTCTCTTGTTTTGTGTTCCCCTCACCCAACAGGGATCTGTCTGCATGGCCCCAATCCTTCCCCATCACCATCTGCTGTTTCTCGTACGGTTTCGTCCCTCCTCCTATTCACCCTCTTACTCACTCTCCTCCACCTCCTCTTCTAATTCCTCCGCTTCCTCCTCTTCTCCTCCCAGTCCCTCCTCTCCCTTATCTCTAGTGTTTGTCGGCACCATCGAATCTTTTGCATAGGATCTCTCCCTCTCCCCATGGCATCCGCGCACGCTCACTCTCCCTCTCACACTGCCTACACACACGGGGGAACACAGGAGGTTGTTGCGTGCACCAAGCCAGCCTGCTGCTGCTTCTGTGGCGCCGCAAAAAGCTAACCATGCGACACACATGCCTACACACACGGAGGAGCCCAGGAGGTTGTTGCGTGCACCAAGCCAGCTGGCTGCTGCTAGCATGCTGCAGAGAGAAGAGCAACAGCAGCAATGACAGCGAAGGCAGCAGCAGCTGGAGCAAGGACAGGTTCAGCAGCAGCACTGGCAGCAGGTGCTTCAGCAGGGAAAGGAGCAGCAGCAGCAGTAGTAGCAGTGGGAGCGATTGCAGCAAATGAAGCATCAGCCCCAGTAGGGAGAGGAGCAGCAGCAGTAGCAGCAACAGCAGCGGCAGCAGTGGCACCGGTTGTAGCAAATGAAGCATCAACCCCAGCAGGGAGAGGAGCAACAGCAGCGGCTGCTCTAGCAACAACAGAAAGAGCAGGATCAGCAGGAGAGAAAGGAAGGGGAAGAGCAGCATCATAACCGTTCATCCCTGTTACAGGCATCTCCACCATCAATGATTCACATTTCAGCGCCATTGTGGGGCCCTGTGATGGTGACACGTGTCACTCTCTTTGTCTTCCACGTGTCCAATGCTCTCGCCCTAATTAATGCTGTTCCTGTGAGTATAAATCAATGCATGTTTTAGTTGTGCTTTTTTTTTTTTCGAATCGGAAAATACAATTGAACTACTATTGTTGTATTGGCGTGTACTGTACAGTTGCACTAGCGTGCATGTGTACATCCCTCTCAACTTGCTTCTACCCTCCCAATCTTGACTGTGCTGTTCCCTTTTCTCGCCTCAACTCTATGTAACGTTCCATTCTCTCCTGTGCCATTATTTTGTGCAGTAATTCCTTTCCTCCTTGCCACCCTCTTTATAAGGCTTTCTCTTTTAGCCACCATGCCCTTAGCCTCCTCCTCCAAACCCATTCATCTATTATTTCATATGCCCCCTCCCCTTCCTTTTCCATCTTCAGATCTCCTTCTTGGATGGATATTCCATTCGATCAAACCTACAGCATCCTATTTCTCCTCCACCTTCCCCCCTCATTCCTCCCGTTCCCCCCTTCCCTTCCTGTTCCCTCGTTAGATTTTCTTCCTAGATGGAGAGGCCATTCTCTCAAACCTCCTCCGCCTGCTGCTCCCTTTTCCCTCGCATCCTCTCGCCTCACATCTGCACCTCTGGCACCAGCAACAGATTGCTCGACACCAATGCATTCTTTCTAGTGTCCTTTTTGGGGGTATCTTTCCTTCTTCTTGTCTCGCTTACTTCATCAACGATGTTTTTGCGTTTGTGACATACAAGCTGAAGATGCCATCACGATGTATTTACTTATCGTACAAACCTGCTTTGCTGTGCGAAACTTGTACGAGATACACAACCATGCCGTGTAACTAGGGCTAATGATTAAGGACATTATGCTTGGTGCACAATACTTATTCCTTATGTAACTAAGAACATAAGGAATAAGTGTTGTGCACCAAGCATAATGAGTTATTCCTTGTGTCCGTTCACAGTTCAGTTGAAACGTCAATGCAATTACCGTAAGATGTTTCCCCAAGAAGAACCTTCTCTCTTGTAATTTGCTGTTCTACAAAGCACTGCGGCAAAATATGAAATGCAGATGCAAAAGTGTAGACAAACGCAAGAATTAGGGTGGACAACCCTTTGCCTCAAGCATTTGCTGCTGCGTTCTCCGCAATTTCCATCGACGGACTTGACGCGCCCGTGTCAGGTGGTCAACCGGTTTCAACAGGCGTGACAAGTGGAGTTTCCACCTGCAATCTAAACTTCCAGCACGCCGTGACAATCGGTCGAGCATGTTGTGAATCGTGAATTGTGGCGTGATCCACTTTGCCCTCGCAGGTTGGGAAAGTTGCAGGAAATCGAATTCGCCAGCCTCATCTTTACAGTAACCAGCGTCGCGACGCTCGCCACTCCACCGTCGCAACTCCCTGGCCTCTGAAACACGGAACAGCGAAGCTCACGGAGTTCACCTGGCGCGAAAGTACATTTCCCGCCAACCATGAGTTCCAACCATTTCCTGTGTATACTTTGTTGAGCAAGGGCGAGCCGCGTTCTCACCACCCTCCTATAAAAACACCCGTCCCTTCCATCGTTATCATCAGTTCTCATATCAATAATCATTCTCTGTTTGCTACGATTTCCTCTTCTTTTTTTCTCGTCATCCGCTCCTCTCGTTAGTTCGTTACGCTTCGAGAAACGTCGGATTCACAATGGGTTACACGATGCGAGGCATATCTTTGCCGCTGCTGCTTCTCGCGCTTTTCGTAGCGTCAGCCTCCGTCGCACCTGGTAAGATCCCGCGACTTGTATCACGACCTTTTCACCAAAAACAGTTTTCTTCTCCCAGATGAAACTTCCGTTTCCTCGCACCTTCTCCCCTTTCGCGCAGTTTTCTTTTCTGATACTCTGAATTGGTTTTGACTCTGTAAGATGTCGCCCGATTCTTCCGCGTTTTCTCCTTCTCGCGCAGTTTTTGGAAGGACCTTATCTACTCGTCGCAGCCTTGCCCTCAAGGCCCTCTCGCTCGTGAGCTTTCCGGGATCGTCAACCATTACTCTGCTAGCAAATCCCGGAGACACTGGCGGAGATATCGGCGGAGATATCGGCGGAGATACCGGCAGTGGCGGCGAAATTGGGGGAGGGGGCGATGCGGGGGAAGGAGAACCTGGCGGACCTGGCGGAGACGTCGGCGGCGATCAGGGCGGTCCTGAGGGCCCCCCTGGTGGCGACAACGGGGATACCGCCAGTGGCGGAGATCCCGGCAGTGGCGGCGACGTTGGGGGAGGCGAGGACGGCCCGCCACTGATCGGCGCTGGCGGAAAGGGAGGAAAGGGCGGAAAGGGAGGGAAAGGTGGAAAGGGCGGAAAGGGAGGAAAGGGCGGAAAGGGAGGGAAAGGGGGCAAGGGGGGAAAGGGAGGGAAACCTGGTAACCAGCAGGGTGGAGCTGGCGGAGAGCAGGGGGAAGCTGGCGGAGAGCAAGGGGGAGCTGGCGGAGAGCAGGGGGGATCTGGCGGACAGCAGGGAGGATCTGGTGGAGAGCAGGGCGGGGCTGTTGAGGAGCAGGGGGGGTCAGGGGGGGCGGATGGTAGCCAGACTGGGGGCATAACGAGCACCGGAAAGGGCGGAAAGGGAGGAAAGGCTGGGAAAGGCGGAAAGGGTGGGAAAGGAGGGAAAGGGAGCAAGGGGGGAAAGGGAGGGAAACCTGGTAACCAGCAGGGCGGGCCTGGCGGAGAGCAAGGTGGGGCTGGCGGAGAGCAGGGGGGATCCGGCGGAGACCAGGGGGGACCCAGCGGAGAGCAGGGGGGATCTGGTGGAGGGGCTGGCGGGGAGCAGGGTGGGGCGGATGGTAGCCAGACTGGGGGCACAACGAGCACCGGAAAGGGCGGAAAGGCTGGGAAGGGCGGAAAGGGTGGGAAAGGAGGGAAAGGGGGCAAGGGTGGAAAGAAATAGAAGCTTTTGCAACACATACTAGGTTGTACCACTGTTTCTTCTTGTACCATTATTGCAGCCAAGTCCATATATGCTGTACTTTCCGAAACCTTCGTGTAAGAATGCCAAAGCAGCCCTAGTAACCTGTGGTACTTGTGTCAGACGTCAGCAGTATGGACGCAAGCTAAGGTTTTTTTAGCCTTTTGCATTTCCGGCACAAGCATCAAACTCGAATGCAACTTCTGTCATCATAGCCTTTTACCAACTCCTGCAGCTACTACGATGTTCTCGATGCGCACTTTCATTCTTGCGCCGTCACCAATCTGTCGCGACAAGAAACATCTACCAAGCTCTTGTAGCTACGGCGAGATGGCAAGCAGTACCATGATACGAATTTCTATCTGACGGAAGATGTACGGAGTAGTGTCTGATCGGGATTCGGGAAGGCAGGCTTGGTTGGGTCAGTGTGCTGAAAAGTTTGGGGCGCGTTTTTGCAATGGCACAGCCTGTGTAACCCAGGCTGCTACCCACAGGGAATTACACGACGGAATGCGAAGCAGGTAACCTCGCAGGTCACATTGTCGGCTCATCCCAGCAGCGCTGGTTGCGAAGTGTGCGATTATTCAGCGAAGACGGGGACACCCCACACGTTGATCCAGCAATCATTCCATGCGGTTTAGAACGTTCTCGACACATCGCCGAAACGCTCTTCACCGCTTTGATTTGTGGAGCACCAGATCAAACCGTGGTGCGTGAGTTGAACAACGTGAGCGTGAGCGACATTCCCTAAGCGTCAAGCCGTATGACAGCTGCATCACCAATCAACAGTCACTTCGGTGATGGCTTGAAATTGGTGGTAGGATTTCTTATCCAGAACGCAACGACGATAAATCTTACTTAGCTCAGGTTGCTTTCTGAAATTTCACCATGATACGAGGCCTCGGTTACTGCACGGTGTGCGCATTCACGGCTTGTTAACCGCGTAGTATCACCGCGACGCGAGTGATCCGCATGGCCTTGTGATTGTGAATCCGCGACACCAACGTGTCGTTTTCCCGCCAGTAATGTCAGCGACATCTTTGGAGCGTCTATCCCGTCGTCATTCTTCGCGAGTGCGAAATGGCGGTGTCTGCAGAGCTGGTTACCAGCATCGTCCTTTGGCTGCTGCTCAATCTTCTCGTTCCCCTGCTCTTCAAGGTACTACTTCCTTGACTTCTCAGATATATTTCTGACATCTCAGATGTTTTTTCTAGTTTTATTTAAGCGTCGTCTCGACTGACGACTGGTAAGCTGTTGTACTTTGGTTGCTGCTCAATCTCCGCGTTTCCTTTCCCCGCTCTTTAGGGTACTTACCAGACGTCTCAGATAAAAATCTCTTAGTGCAGTCTCTCAACCAGCGTTTAATAAGCTGCTTCGTTTTGGCCGCTGCTCACCTTCTCGTCCCCCTGCTCTTTGAAGCTACAAAAGTCTGTTTCATTTGGCCGCGAGACGGATCCGATCCTCTTTTTCCCCCTTCTTTCTCTCTCCTTTTCACTCCCTTCGTTAGTAAGCTCATCCCCCCTGCACTGGCGCTGGCTGCGCGGAGGCAGGGGAAGGGGAGCCTCAGTTGCGTCAATGCGCCAATTCCCCACTACCCTTCTCCCATTCCCCCCCACTCCCCCCCACTCCCTGTCCGCCCTCCACCCTCCTCCTGCCCCTTGTCCTTTCCCCCAGCGCGCGGAGTTCTCTCTCCGCGCATCCCCCTTGCACTGGCGCTGGCTGCGCGGAGGCAGGAGGAGGGGAAGCCCCAAGCGGAAGCGCAGGGCAAGGGGAGGCGAATGCGATAGTAAAGGGGGAGGAAGTGCCCAAAGCGAATGTGCTAATAAAGGGGTCGGAGGAGGCTTGGATAGCAGCGGAGAGGAGGATTGGGGGGAGAGTGGTGGGAGAAGGGGAGGGGCGGATGGAGGGGAGATGAGGGGGAGTAAGGGAGAGGTAGGGGGAAACGATGGGAGAGCACAGGGCGAAAGGGAGCGAGAAGGGGTTACCCTCACAAGTGGGGTTACATCTAGCATAGGGTAAGTTATACACCTTCTAGTTGAGTATATATATAAAAATATATACGTATATGACCTCCCCTCCCGCCCTCTCTCCCTCCCTCCCTCCCTCCCTCCCTCCCTCCCTCCCTCCCTCCCTCCCTCCCTCCCTCCCTCCCTCCCTCCCTCCCTCCCTCCCTCCCTCCCTCCCTCCCGCCCTCCCTCCCTCCCTCCCTCCCTCCCTCCCTCCCTCCCTCCCTCCCTCCCTCCCTCCCTCCCTCCCTCCCTTCCTCCCACCCTCCCTCCCACCCTCCCTCCCTCCCTCCCTCCCTCCCTCCCTCCCTCCCTCCCTCCCTCCCTCCCTCCCTCCCTCCCTCCCTCCCTCCCTCCCTCCCTCCCTCCCTCCCTCCCTCCCTCCCTCCCTCCCTCCTTCCCTCCCGCCCACCACCAGGTACGGTCAGATCCACACCACGTGTTTCAACACGAGCACCTTCACATGCTTGAGGGCACCACAGAGTGTCATCCGTTTGCCTCCCACCCTCCCTTCTCCCCATCCCTCCTCCCTCCCTCGCATCACCAGGTACATTCAGGTCCACACCACGTGCTTCAACCCTTGGCTAGAGCGGCTTCGCATGCTGCCTGCTAAGTCAGCTACCAAGAGGTGGGGCATTGGGTTGGGCTGTAGTTGAAATGCTCGATTTTCTCGTTCACTTCAGGGTGTTTCTTGTTTTGGCAATCCTTTTCTGTTCTTTGTATTATGCCTAAACCTCAGCGCGCGAATAAAAAAATACCAAAAAAAAAAAAAAAAAAACCGCACAAAGAGACAGAACCAAACAAAACCTTCCCTGGTTTTTCTTCATTTCGGGATGCTCCGTGCATGGTTCACATGGGGGGTCATTGCAGCCTCTGTATCATTGCATGGTTCTTTGTGTCTCGTGTAACCCTCAGTACTCCAACCGAACATCGCCACAAGCTAATATTTTCTCATGTGTCTCATCTCATCCCAGGATGCTCCGTGCATGGTTCACATGGGGGGTCATTGCAGCCTGCGTCGCCTTCCTATTGGCCTCTCTGGTGCGTGTGTGCATACAACCCTCCCTCATCTCTCCCCATTCGCATTCACATGGGGGGTCATTGCAGCCTGCGTCGCCTTCCTATTGGCCTCTCTGGTGCGTGTGCGCATACAACCCTCCCTCATCTCTCCCCATTCGCATTCACATGGGGGGTCATTGCAGCCTGCGTCGCCTTCCTATTGGCCTCTCTGGTGCGTGTGTGTGTGCACGAAACCCTCATTTTTTACCATTCTTATTCGCACGCGCTGGGACCGTCGAACGAATTTTGAGGCGCCTCAAACGCATCACAAAAATGTGTGCGTCTGGAAATCATCTGACCATTTTTTTTTTAAGCAAGCTTCAGAAAATCGTTTGACAATCATCCAGGAATCATCTACGAATCGTTTGTATAGCATTCTTGTCAGACCAAACGTTTTGGTGATGTTTTAGTAATGGTTTCGCGGTGTTACAATGGAATGTTTGTTAGATGTTAATTGTTGAGACAATAATAAGGTGGCTTAAAAGCGTGTTTCACAATCAAAGAAGGTTATGGTAAATTGACATAGTTGCTACTTAATTTGCATCACCAGATCAACCTATTGAGCAGCTTCACAGCAGGGTCTTTGCAGCACGGGACAACATGCACGATGCTAAGAATGCAATCTGCATCTACAACTGCATAGTTGAAGGTGCCCTTCGTGGGCAACAGTCGTTTGCAGCCAGTGTACCGGCAGACTCGCCGATCCTCCGTGTAGTACTCGATGTAGGCGGCTTTTTTTGCCACGCCATCTTTCACGTAATGGAACAGCATCAAGCAGCGGCCGTATCAGTTGGCCTCTTTGCCAGTTGGATTTATGGCTACATCTGAAAAGTGCCTGTCGGAAGGGCTTGCTTTGACAAACTGCCCCTTCTCGGTCCACTCCATCCTGTCGTGCGCTGGGATTGCCATGGCAGTGTGCACCTGCGAATAGGCAAGCAGGGGTCGCAGCACAACAATGGAAGTTTGTGTTAGGGTTGAGACAATGGGGTGCTGACGGGTGCGTGGATACAACAGTGTGCCATTCCTGGGTTTGGCCCATTAAGGAGGTTGATGGCCCGCGTTTAACAGGTCTACGTGGCAGTGGCAGTTGATTCTCACATTGATGCTCCCGCATTGAGCACCATATTGATTCTCACATTGAGCACTTGGTCGTGAATTCCCTCCCTGGCCAGCCGCTTCTTCAAGTAGCCCATCGCTTCATCTCCGTGAACAAGGACATAGCTCCTGAACACATCATCCGTGATCTGCCCCACGGTCATCTTCTTGTGTGTCTTAGTCAGCACCCGACGCCCAAGCGTGCAAGCCTGGGTAGGAGGGTGATGGGTGCATGGTGTACATGGGGGGCAGCAGGAGAGGGGCAGCACTTGAGTACAACAGGGGCAGCAGTGAGAGGGAGCAAAGATTAGGGACCAGTCGGTTAGTATAGCGGGGCAGTTCCAGAGGTCAAAGGGTGCAGCAAGAGGAGGGAGCATAGGTGGACAAGTGTAGATCAAGGGAGGGCAAAGGAAAGACAAACGGCAGGAGGGAATGGGAAGTGCCGGGGATGGACATGGAGGAGGATGGGGGGGGGGGGGGGGGGGGAACCGAGGGGGCGACGTGTTTAGCAGCACGAAGGTATATGGTGGATTAGTAGGGGAGCATTGGGGGCTGAACGACGGATAGTCCCACGGGGGCCGGGGGAGGGGCATAGGTGGATAAGTGGGGGAGCATGTGGGGCAAGACGGAATGTGAAGGGTGGCAGCTAGTGGAAGGAGCGATGGGTGGACAAGAACGCGAGCATGTAGATGCAAAACGGGATGTCAAGGGGGGCAGCGGGAGAGGCATTTCATGGGTGGACATGATGGTGAGCACGTGGATGCTAGAAAGGATGTCTAGGGGGGCAGCGGGAGGAAGGGAAGAGGCAGGGTCTAAACAAAAACACGAGGTGATAGAGGGTTTCATGCGGCAGGAGCAGGCGGGGAACATTGGTGGGCAAGATCGGCCTTAGGTCGTACACAGGCTCACCTTCTTCATGGCTGTCTCGTATGTTTTGTCCCCGCCGGAGGCTCGAGACAGCTGTCGAACAACGGCTTGCTCGATATGCTTCTTCACAATGCGATCCTCCACACCCTTCCAGTGGGTGCCGCGAGAAGGGCGCTACACTGTTGTCTTGTGGGACTGCTCGTACCGGTTCGACAAGTACTCCTGTAGCAATCCCCGTGCACGGATCGTCGGCGGGAGGTGCGATACAAGATGCACCTTGATAATAAGCCACTTCGACTTCTGGTTGTCGAATGCTAGAACAAGCGCATCGACCATCCTGGATAGGACGTGTTTGGGTGGATTGAAAGGTTCGGGATTGGGGCATTGGGTGTTGGGGATCGGTTTAGCGTGCGTAAGCATATAAACAACAATTCAGCCACAAACAACATACAATGCCCCATACCCGGGTTCATACACTACTACCCTCTCTCAAACCCTCCCCCCTCCTCTCATCTCCCCCCCCCCCCCCCCCCCACCCACTCACAACTCAGCTTCCATGTTTCTGCCACTCCATTCCCCCACTCTAAGCCCCTCCTCTCGTCATTATGCCCCTCCTTCCTTTTTTCAGCGCATGCGGAACAGTCCACAGCCCATCGTTCCCTCCCCCCCTCCCCTCTTTCCCTCCTTCGTCCCCTCTTTCCCTCCCTCGTCCCCTCTTTCGCCCCCTCGTCCCCTCTTTCCCTCCCTCGTCCCCTCTTTCCCTCGCTTTTCCCCCCTTTCCTTATCTTTTCCCTTTTTCTCCCGTTCTCTGCACCCTATTTCCCACACACTGCCTCTTAATCCCTCCCTCGACCCCTTTAGCCATCTCACTGTCCCTCGTTCCCTATGCGCATGGCACCCACACCCATTCACGCTAGACTTACTCGCAGGAGACCTCCTCCACGCGCTCAAGCGTGGCATCGGTGTGATACTCAGCCCGGATAAACTCCTTGTACCAGTCCGACATGAGCGTGATGGCATGTCGAATATCGGCGCGCTTGAGGAGGTCGATGATGAGGGGCAGCACTTGCATCATGGCACGATGCTCCGACGCTGAGAAGCAGGCCGTCGTGGTGAAGTACGCCCATGCGGATGGGAGTCTCAGCAAAGACGCAGGAGTCACTGCCTTGAGAATCTTGTAGCGTCTGCACGTACGGGATGCAGTAAGGGTATCGGTTTAGGGTTTGTGTGGGGCCGGTGGGGTGGGTTAGGGAGGGGGGCGAGAGAGGGGTGGGGCTGGCGGGGTGGTCTAGTAGTTAGGTGCATCAAATCGCACCTCATCTCCCCGCTGCCTCTCTCTCAGTGAATCCCTTTCCGTCCTCTGCCCCACTCCCCCAGCCTCTATGCCTCATCATTCCTCTCTCTGCCCCTTGTTCCCTCGCTCTGCCCCATGGTCACCTCTCTCTGCCCCTCGTTCTCTCCCCCTGCCCCAATTTCCCCTTGCTCGGTCCCAATTTCTTTCTCCAGGCCCCCATTTTCCTCACTCTGCCCCACTTGCCCTCTCCCAGCCGCAATCTCCCTTACTCTCTGCCCAATTTTACTCCTACATTACCCCCATGCGGTCCCTATGCCCCGAGACACTATTCTGAATCCCGCGTTCACCTCACACGACCAACCCCCCCCCCACCCCCCCCCCCCCCCCCCCCCCCTTCTATGCCCCTCCTTCCCGCTAGCAGCCCCACCTTCCTGCTCGCAGCGCCTCCTTCCCCCATGGTGCCCCT